CATAACAATTTGGTATCAGAGCCAAACGTCATGGGCGATATGGAGCAGCTGTCTTCCAAGGTCCACGAACTGGAACACCAACTTGCAGAGACCAGCATGGAGGTACGTGAGGTCAAGGATGATGTCCGGGAGCTTCGACGCTTGCTGGAGACATTCTTAGCCAATAGGGAAAGAAACTCAGAAGGAATCGCCACCAACAACAGCCGCAGACTGGACGGGGTAGAAACGCCTGGCGAACATCAGACGGCCACCCCGACTGCTGCTGTTATCCCCAAATACAATCGGCTAGAATTTTCGTCCTACAACGGCGCGGGAGACCCACTGGGATGGTTGCACCGCTGCGAACAGTTCTTCCGCAACCAGCGCACCGATGACAGAGACAAGGTCAGCCTGGCCGCGTTCCACTTGACCGAAGAAGCGCAGCTCTGGTTCTACCGAGTGGAGCAGGAGGAACTAGGCCTTAGTTGGGGGCAGTTCAAGTCGTACTGCCTCCTTCGGTTCGGACTCCCACTAACAAACAACCCCTTGGGGGAACTCATTAATCTCAAGCAGACCGGTACCGTAGCAGAGTATCAGCGGCAGTTCCAGACCCTTCTCACCAGGGCCTCGTCAGTACGTCCAGACCAGCAGGTGGATATGTTCACAGCTAGTCTAGCCGAACCCCTGAGAGTTGATGTAGAGATGCAGAGCCCGCCTAACCTGGTCACGGCAATGAATTTGGCCCGGGCCTTCGAGCGCAAACTACAGATTAGCCGAGGGTCGTTCAGCATGGGATGCCCAGCAGCGGCTTGGACAAACCCGAAGCCTACTAGAGGAGGGTCTTCACAGGCAGCCAACAGGGAACCACTCGGAATGGCTCCATATCTAGCAGCCAGCCCAGAACGGAAGCCACAGACGAGCACCAATTCCAGACCAGCATCCAATGTGGGGAGCAGCGGCAGTACACCCCCTATTAAGCACTTGTCCAAGGCTGAGATCGCAAAATGCAGGGCGAGGGGGCAATGTTTTAATTGCGATGAACTCTACTCAGCAGGGCACATGTGCAAAAGACTTTTCTGCCTCCTGGTAGAACAAGAGGAAGATGAGGATGAACCCCCTCCATAGGAACCCGACCCAGGAGGGCAAAGCCACCCAGGATTCYTTTGAGGGTGTCTTCGACACCCAATTCGAGCTTGAGGACAAGCTCGTAGTCCGGGAGGGGTGTGATGTTATGGACACACCACCGGGCAGCGCACTG